CACCCCACCGAGTGACTGGTGAGGTACCATTCACAGGTCAACGTCAYGAAAGACCAAGAGGCAGCAACTGTTTCAGACTGAGGGGGGAAGGAAGCTCGGTGACTTCGTGTGCCCTCAGGCTTGGCTTGTCCTGCTGTGGGGGGATTAGCAGGAGAGCTGCTGGAGGCGGGCGGGTTAGACAGGGAGTGCCCTGGTTCCAGACAACRTGCACCCAAGTGTCACAGGGAAATAGGCGTCACATCCTAGATGACGAGGAAGAGAGAAGTAAGTGAGATATTCATGTTGGAGGACTCTGGGTCAGTGAGTTCCTYATACTATTTTGTAACCTTTCTCCAAGTCTGAGGTTATATCCAAATAAAGGTTTTGAATGAGGCAGCATGAAGCATCTCCCCGGCCAATTCTTTGATGCTTTTCCCATAGAGAGGTGAATCCGCTCCCCCTTGAACATRGTCTGGATGTGCTGGCTCCCTTCTAAAGAGGGAGTGTGGCCAGGGAGGCCAGGTCACAAAAGGAGACCCAGCATCCACCTCCTTCTCCTCTGCCGCACGCGTCTGGAGCCCTGGGATATTGTGCAGGAAGTCCAGCCACCAAGAAGCCACCAGACTGGGAGACCTCCTCAAGGGGGACATGGCTGGGGAGCCTCTGCCATTCCTGGGAGACAATGGTCCCCCCAAAAAGCGGCCACATTTTGTCTCACCAACTGGCCCCAGAACTTTTTCAAAGTGGGGGACAGTTTGTTCCTGCCATCACATACACCAGGACTAGAGTCAGGCAAATAAGATGGAAAGGTGGTATATGTGACTGCATGGCCAATATGATTCTGCAACCTGTACACTCAGAAAAATGAGAAATTACATCCCATCTGATTCAAATGTACAATGTGTCAAGGTCATCGTACCGTCATGTGTAACTAATTAAAACAAAAAATAAAAATAAATAAAATAAAAACCTAAAAAAAAAAAAAGAAGAAGAAGAAGGAAAGGTGGTGGGAAGGTGCAGGAATGCCAGGCAGGCACACTCAAATTCAGTCTGGTGTCTCTGGTTGGGTGACCTTGGGGCATCCCTGGGGCCCTCCCCACCTCAACTGACTCAACCCACCAGCAGGCAGGCTGCATGGCCTCGCCCAGCATTTGAGCATCTGGGGATCCTGTGGAGGCCCCCCTCCCTGCTGGACCCCGGGCTCCACTGTGCTGCAGCTCTTGGCACTTCCTTCCTGGGGAACCCTTAGCCCTGTACATCCTCCTGGTCCCAGATCAGCGCTGACCTAGACTGAGACTTGCTGAGCAAATCACTGAGTTACTGCCTCATTGCAGCACCCAGCACTGGGGGACATAGGGGCCACACATGTAGAGAGAGAGAATTAGCACTCACTGGGCACCACCCTATGTAGACACGGCCCCAAGCTGAGAAGGCGGTGCTGGGCAGGATAGATAGCTTAGCTAGGAGGCAGCTCTAGCTGGGCCAGGGACCTCCAAGTCCTCAAGACACAGAGCTCTCTACAAGAAGAGGACGGAAGGACACCAACGTAACTCTGCATTACCTGCGCCTCTGGTATCCAGGTGCCCATCGCTCAGATATAGAAGCAGAAGCTCAGAGAGGTGCCCAAATCCAGACAACCAATAAATGGCAGAGCTCAAATTCCAACTCAGGGTGGGGAGCTGCAAAGCCCAGGTAGGGTGGGCTTGGGTGGGCACTGGAACCTGGAGTCCCTTAGCCTCGGCTGAAGCCCCTGAACCGCGATACTCTGTGCCTTTGGGTCTAGATGACTCTCTGTTGTAGGGGTTGTCTGTGCACCATGGGATGCTTACAGCATCTCTAGACTCTGTCCACGAGAAGGCAGGAGTACCCTCACCCGATTGGGACAACCAAAATGTCTCCAGGCATAACCAGATGTCACCGTGGGAGAGGGAGCAAATTCCCAATTGCCCCCAATTGAGAAACACTGGCCTAGATGTAAACACTGGCTCCACCACTTCTCTATGACCTTGAACAAGCAACGTAACCTTTTTGTGCCTCAGAGTCCCTGACTGTAAAATGCAAAGATAATAAGAACATGTGAGGTTAATGTGAAGATCAGATAAGAATCCAAGAAAGCACATGGCCCCTCCATGTCAGGCTTGCTCCACGGCTATTCTGCCCACTACCCTCAGCTGCCTTCCCTTCAAGCCTGGATCAGGTGCACATGAAGGTCCGCTAGCACCTACGTAGGAATGAACCCATCAGCCAGTTAATGAAAGTGTGCAAACAGCCAGATGTTACAAAATGAGCATCAGAGCATCTGCTGATTAGGGAGGTCCTGGCCGCCCCTCTCACCATCGAAGGGCAGTTAAGATTTAAGAACCTAGGGCCCGGCTCCCTGGGCTCAGTCTAGCTCTGCCACTCATGAGCAGGGTGACCACAGACCCATGATTAAGCATCCTCATCTGTAAAATGGGTAACAAAACTGCTGCATGGGGTCATGAGGGTCAAATAAATCAATGTATGTGTGGGGCCTGTGCAGAGCGAGTGTCCCTATTGCTATCATTTGTGTTAACCCAGCACACTCCCCTCTTCACCGACACTCTGRTCACCCTCCTCTTCTCAGCTGTGCAAAACACAAGCCAGTTCCAGCCTTGGCACCGCCTTCCTCTCCTGCCTTGCTCTGCCTCCCAGACACCGCCACTGCCCAACCCCGACTTTGCCCCAACTTCCTTCACCATTCCCTCCRAGAGGAAGCCTCCCTAGCCACCCTTCACACAAAAGCAGCTGACCACCCTGCTGGTTCTATCTCCTGGTGCCTGATGCTGCACRCGGTGGTCAGTAGAGCGCAGTACAACACGCCCAGGATCCAGCAGCTTGGGTTCATTGGTGTGGCTCCCCACAAGTTCCCAGATGCAGAGAGGTTGATGAGAGGCCTRCCCAGCATTCAAGGCAATGCACGCAACCAGGAGATGTAAATAATTATAGGACGTGAGGATGATATTTACAGAGGGAATTCCAACGTCCTCACGTGGTGCATTTTCCCCAACACAGAACTTATTTAAACAGGAGCCTAGAATGGCATTTGCCCTGAAAGATTCTGTTCATGACAATCTGTCCTTTAGAAAAGAATGGTGCACGTTAGACARTTCCAGATAGGTGTTTTTAAACTGTGTTCCCTGCAACTGCAGACTCCAGAGAAAGAGTGACAGAATTCTACCAAATGAGGATTCGCAAAGTCAAAGACGCTGGGAAACAAGGCAGAATCCTCCCCCACTTGGGGACTCATAATGCTTAGGAAATGCTCTAAGGCCCCCTGTAAACAGGCTCTGAATATGGGTTTGCTGAGTTTATTTCACTACAGACCCTGCCCATGAACATTAGCATCACAGAGTGTGGTGATCTCACAGAGGCCTCCCTGGTACACAGAAAGTGAGGCCCAGAGAGCTTAGCAGACTCACTCAAGGTCACACAGTCATCTCCCAATCCTAAAGCAGCGTTCTATTCACTGGCCCTGATGTTTTGCTTAGCTATTTGTTCATAAAATGTCAAAAAAACAGACTTCAGATTCCAGTATCAGTTTTATGAAATCAAATATGAAAATGAATGTGCCAAATGGGATTTTGCTTTCCATYGCACTGTTCCAGAAATAGTTATTCATTCAACAAATATTTATTAAGCATTATGCGCCAGGCACTGCACATTCTGCAGTGAACAAGACACGGTGACACAGAAGACCAACACAAAATTATCCTTGAGGGGACCAGAACAGATCGAACTGCCCTTGACAAGGCTGCTTCAAAGCTGGGACTTGTGAGAAGCTACCCATCCCCGTTCCATTTGCTCCCATCAGCAGTTTTTACATTTAGTCTAATGGCAATAACACGCCCTCCACTGCAGCGGGGCTGAAGTAAGAAGCCTTGGCTCTGCACATTGCAGGGGGAAGCGCAGAGATTGGTGTGAGTTGAGCTCTTTTACTGAGCAATTCAACCTGCAGATTTTCCAATTTCAAATTCATTCCAATGTCATCTCAGTTAAAACGCATCCTCCTATTTACTATCGTCTGCAAGTAAACGTTTCTATTTAACAGTGGGATTTCTTTTTCAAAGTGTATTGACTCACACCACTCAAAGCCCTTCAGAAAACAGTGTACCAAAAGCCACGTCATTTTAAAACACACCCTAGATTAGAGATGGAGGAAAATAGTGCTGTTATCCCAGATGACCTCTTCAGTGAACTGACAGCCACCATCTAGGAATCAGGAGAATTATCTTATGTTCTTTTAAATAGAAAATGCCAAGTGAGAAAAAAATCAGAGCCCCAGGCTTAAGCAGTCCACGTATCTAATGCCGTAGCTATGAAACCAGCCTTCAATACATACTTGAAACGTGTTCTTCTAACAAAAAGAAATCGGAAGCTCTTCAAGGTCCTTTGTCCTGTGTGTTCATTTAAGGTCAAAGTAAATACAAGCTTCTACACCCAGCAAACATTTTTGGTGCTTTTTAAGGATGTACTCAAATCCCAATTCTGGGGAAGGAGGGCATGCCATGGCATCTCCAGGGGCAGTCCTGAAAGCCAGCCTTGCCAAGCAACAGGATTCACATGCCTTGTGTTTATCAGACACCAGAAGCACCGAGGCCTCAGTAAAGACCCTGCAGGAGCACAAAACACAGACACCCCACTGCACCCCAGCATCACCACTCACACCCTGAACATAGTGTTTAAAACTCAGCCAACCAAATAATCACTGAACAAGTTCTTTGTTTGAAAGGGGAAGGGAGAGTGTATCTTTAAAGGACCAAGCTCCCCATTTTCTTCTAGGACCTCTGGCCCATCTGTGCTAGGCTGGATTTATTTGACCCAAATTATTCCCACTGCTTCTGCCAATGCTTTCAGATAAGAATCAATAGGGCAGAGCTTCTAAGCATGTGCACACAGAGACAGAACAGTGAAGAACCGAGCAGCGCTGAGAATATGTACATGGTGARCAAGAGTGTACGCTCACAGAGGTCTGTGGGTTTTGTAGTCCCAGGAGGGCACTTCTATGCAGTTTCAGGCAATCCATTTGGGGTGAAGGGTGTTATTTTGCCTAACGAAATCTCCCCCTCACAGTCCAGGTCGCCAGCAGGATCACCATCTGGGGGCGTCTGAAAGGTCCCGGATAAGTGATCTAAAGGGCCCTCCTCCTCCTCCTCCTCGTTGTCCACCTGCCTGTCTCCGGGCGCCACCGCGTTGGGAATCATATGGATATAGGGCCCTACAATCTCCTTGTGGAAGACCGTGTCTTGGTTGTAGGAGATGAGCTCATTGCTGATGTTCACCGTCTCCACACGCGTGCGGGAGCAGAGGTGACTGCACCCCAGCAGCTGTGCGAACACCTTCCGGAAGTCAGCGTTGAAGGCGTAGATAATAGGGTTGAGTGAGGAGTTGGCCCAGCCAAACCAGACAAAGACATCGAAGGTGGTCTCGCTGACGCAGGGGAAGCCGGCCTGCGGGTCCCCGTTGCAAAAGGGAACCATGCAGTTGAGGATGAAGAAGGGCAGCCAGCAGCACACGAACACCCCCATGATCACAGACAGGGTCTTGAGGACCTTGGTCTCCTTCTTGATGGAAGCCCGCAGGTTGGTGTCGGGTTCTCCTGGGGCTCTGCTCCGGCAGCTCTGCGCATGCTCAGCGGCCCTCTCCAAGGAGGAGATCCTGCGGATCTGCACCTGCGCTATACGGTAGATGCGCGTGTAGGTCACAATCATGATGGCCACAGGGATGTAGAAGCTGATGATCGAGGAGGAGATGGCGTAGGCTCGGTTCAGGCTGGAATCACAGTTCTCTGCCCTCGCATTGGGCTCCCCGGCTTCCTCCCAGGGCGTCCCATTGGCCAGGTTGGATGGAAGGTCCTCCTGGCCCCGGGAGCCCGAATTGTCTCTGTGCCARTTGAACTGGACTGGAATGAAGGAGATGAGGATGGACAAGGTCCAAGCCAGACCCACCATGACTAAGGCCACGGTCTGGGTCATCTTGCGCTCATAGCGGAAGGGCCTGGATATGGCCCAGTAGCGGTCCACACTGATGATGCACAAGTTCAGGATGGAGGCCGTAGAGCACATGATATCAAAGGCCACCCAGACGTCGCAGAATGCCCCAAAAGGCCAGTAACCAGCCACCTCGGCGACTGCCTTCCAGGGCATGACCAGCAGTGCCACGAAGAGGTCGGACACTGCCAGAGACACGATGAAAACGTTGGTCATCTTCGCACGCAGGTGGCGACTGCGCACGATGGCAGCGCAGACCAGCACGTTGCCAAACAGGGTCCAGACAATGAGGAGTGTCAGGAGGCCCGCGGTGACCACCTGCACTGGCCCCAGGGGCGCGGCCCCAGCTGAGCCGCCCAAGGCGCCCCCCTGAACCATTTGCTGCTGCATCCTGAACCGAGCCCAGTACGCGGTGCCATTGCGCCCGGGAGGCAGCATATCTGGCTTGGGGGCAGCGGCAAGCTAAGCGTGGTTACAACTTCAGCCCTGTGTCCCCCAGGAGGCCCCATCGGGCACCCCAAGGGGTGCCCCAGGACCCACAGCCCAGAGACCCCTGAGCCCCGAGGAGCGCTCACCGTGCACTGTGCCGGGACCCGGAGCGGTGGACGCCTTGAGCCATCCAGTCCCGGAGCTGGGGCAGCAAGAGTCTGGTGCCCGCGGGCGGCAAGGGCTGTTTCCAAGAGCCTACAGCGCGCCTGGTGGCGGTGGCAACAGCCGCCKTGTCTGGTTCGGAGCCGGGGAAGGGAAGAGCGAGCCGCCACCGAGGGGCGGGGGCCGGGAGCTGCGGGAGCAGGGAGAGCGCAGGAGCTCTGCCGCCCGCCGTCCCGCGCCGCTCCGGGTCCCGCGCTCCCGCCCTTCGCCGCGCGCTCCTTTCCCCGCTCCCGCCCCACCTGGGCCCTGGCTTTCTAATTCTCTGCGCTCCGTCTGCCAGAGCCCARGGGCAGCCCACACTCTGGGAGGTGCGCCAGTGCCAGACCCTCGCCCGAGCCAGGGAAGGTGCCTGGCCTGGCCCAGCCGTGCAGCCCCAGCCCTGGCCACGTTTGGGAGGCTGGGTGGGGGGATGGGGAAACTTTGTAGGGTGAAGAAGGCCTCCTTGGATTTCTCACTGACCCGAGCCCCAAATCCAGACTTATTCCTGGCTGCACGACCTTGAGCGCCCCATCTAACTTCACCTGGCCTTGGTTTCTTCATCAGCAAAAGTGAGATAATTATTCCTACATCTCTGCACGTGTCAGGACCCAGGGACACCATCCAGGAAAAGGCACAAGTACCTACAGCATCTCCTGGACCACCTGCTCCTCCGAAACTGCTTCCCCTGACCCCTTGAAGGGAGGCCCTTTCCCCACCCTTCCAACCTGTGAGTGATTTTTCCTTTAAGAAATAATTTTAACTGAACTCAGAAGAAAAGGGAGGGAAGGACCCTCCCCAAAGGCTGGAGCTGCCTCCTGAGGGCACTGTCACATTCTCTTCTTGTTTTAATCTTGGGAGGGATAGATTTAAAAAAAAAAAAAATCTCAGCGTTTTTCAGGAGAGGAAACTGAGGCCTGGAAAGGTGTTTCAAAGTCTGAGCAGGTTGGGGAAAGCAGGTGGAGGAAGAGGGAAGAGAGCAGACTTCGGAGCCCTTAGAGCACCTCCCAGAGGACAAGTCCGGCTGGGAACCACTCCAGTCTGGCTGCTGGTGTGAGCTCAGCTGAGCTGCAGGGAGGGAGGTGGATGGGAGCAGCCTGCTCCTCGATCCCCCTGGGACACACACCTGCAGCATGTGAGGTCTGCAAGCAGGACTGGAGCTTCTCATCCCCTCCCTCCCACCACACCTGCTGCTGCCCCCTCTGCTGCTGGACCAGCACCTGCAGGTGCCCCAGATTCTCAGCCTTGAACACCGCAGCCCCCCTCCCTCTCAGTGCTTCCTGCAGCTGGACATGGCAAGACAGCTGTCAGGGTGACTGAACTGAAACTGGAGAGCTGTGCTTCCTCCGGTCTCTCCTCTCCAGCATTGCCGCCTGTGCAGGACTGGGTCTTCTGTGCCCTGTATTATAGTGACACCATCTTAGCCTCCAGCCCTGATTCTCTGACCACCCACCACTGAACCACAGAGAGAGTGCTGTTTCTAAAACCTGGCTGTGAATGTGTCCCTTAGGGTCCCAGCCCCAGCCAGGCATGCAAGATCTTTCCAACATCTTGCCCATGCCTTTCCCACGGCCCTTGCTTCTCTCCTGCCACTGCTCCACATGCAGCCTGCAGTGGASACAGCATCAGCAGTAGAAGCAAAATTGATCACTCACTTGCACTTCCCCAAATGGGCTGGGTGGTCATTCCAGAACCCGAAATGACCTGCTTCCCCTCTGTCTTCCTGAACAACACTAACTTGTGGTGCAGGAGATGAACTGGGACTTTTGAGACAGGGATTTGAAGTTTGGCTATTCATTCTTGCATTCAGCACATATTTATTGAGCACTTACTATATTTCAGATGCCATTTACACACTGGGTATATACAGAGAGAGGTACAGATATGACTTTCCTTTCCTCTAGAAGTTTGCAATCTGATGCTRAAGATAGATGTTAACCTAAGGATCATCCAAGGAAACATACAATTTCAACTGTGATGCCTGCTATGGAGCAAGTTTAAAGTGTTAAAGAAGTGCACACTAGGAGGGGGCAGCCAAGACAAGATGTTTGGTGAAAACCTCCCTGGAGAAGTTTCTCTTTGCATTTGAGTCACAGGTGAAGTAGGCAAAGAAGAAGACAGAGAAGGAAAGACATGGCAGGCAGGAAGAACAGTACTTCCCAGCTTGGGGGTCCTGGGAACATGATGTGGTCTCTCCTGGCCTCAGTTTTCTCATCTGGAAATGGGGAATGGTGGTAGTTGAAGTGGTGAATGTGATGAGACCAACAGACCTGATCACAGGTGTTCTGAGCTTCCCTCCTTCCCTGCTCCACACCTGTGCCACACCTTGCCCCGGGCTGCTCTCCAGGGAGGATTCTCCCCTGGCTTTTGTGCTGGCAAGTCCCAGAGTGGATGCTTTATTGGAGGCTGGAGGAGGAAAGAAGGCTCCCAGAAGGAAGAGACCCTGTGTATCTTCACAGTAGAGACAGTGAGGTGAGGAAAGGGTCAAAAAGCGGGACAGTGTTTTTCCAGGGAAGACTGTGAAAGAGGTGAGGCTATGGGAGCATGGGAGAGGTAGACAGGAGAGCAGGAGGGACCAGGAGCAGGACGCCCCACTGCACCCACAGAAGCAAGCAAAGAGCTTGGGTTTGGAAATTACCTCTCGGCGCTGGACACGACACTGCTTGGAGACTGCCACAGGGATCGGGTTCTGCGTCCTCTGGGATTTATGGCAATCACCTCTTCTGGACCAAGCAGGAGTGCTGAGCGGGGGCGGGGGCTGGCTCACGAGGCAGCTACGGTGACACTGTATCTGACTCTCACCACTCACTGCAGGGCTGCTGGCCCTCCAGGCACTTGGCTCCTTGAATCAAGAAACTGTCTCCAGGTCTTGGTTCTTTGCTCCAATACAAAGATTGGGTGCCTGACAAATCTTCACTGGTAGATGAGCAGAGAAGGGGAATCTGCCCAGTGCTGTGAAATCAATGGACACAGGACTTAATCAGCCAAGAAAGGTACACACATGCTCCATACACAGTTCTACATTTGACTTCAGATGCTTCTGGGAAATCCATCCCTTCGTTCATGCAACAAGCCCCATTGATGGGGGAGGGTACAGGGTGACATGTCATGGCCAGGGTAGATTTGCATAATGGTTACAGGAAAGTTCCAGCAGGAGATGATAAAGTACACCGAGCAAGGGCTTTCTCTTCCAATTAACACAACATTACTGTTGGAGCTAGGAACTGAGCTGTGACTCACAACCCCTGAGTAGACCTTGGAGATACAGGAGAATCCTGTAATGGAGGGAATGGTGCAAGCAGAGGCTCAGAGGCATGAAGCTGCCTAGGGGGTAATACAAACTTCCAGAGCTGTGATCCAAAAGACCATGCTTCTCATCACTCTTGGAGACAGCATTTTCCCTCTGCTGCTGAGACTGTGCTAAAGTGAGCTCCAGGGTCATGGGGCCATGGTTTCCCATCAGGACTGGCTGCACCGTCTCACCTGGGCTCTTTCCCGCGTTGTCTAAAGAGCCTGGCGGAAGTAAAGCAGCTGGAAGCCAGGGCATCTCTCCAGCCAGCCTCAGGAGCCAGCCTCCTGGGCAGAATTCTAACCACCCAGAGGGTTAATAAGCCCCTCTTTATTTATCCCAAGCAGAGCCCGGATCTCAGGGGACACAGGTGGGAAATGGTCCTTCCATACATTGGCTTCTGCAAATTTGGACTAAGAGGATTTTTGTAGAACATTTTAGCACAAAGGCGGTTTTCCTACTCTGGTCAGCAAATAGTCTTCTGTCTGAACTCATTGATCTCCCTTTGTCTGAAGACATATTTTAAATGGGATTTGCTTCCCTGAGACAAATGATAAAATCAGTAGGAAAATGCCCAGGATTTCGCTGCTGCTGCTGCTGCTGCTGCTGCTTTACACCAGGAAAAGTCCACTCCTTGGCTACAGGATGCCCCTGAGCCCCCAGACCCAGTCCTACCCATGCACCGGCTTCAAAGGATGGAAGCTTGGCAGAAATCTGCATTGCCTTGAGCCCAGACCCACTGTGGTGGTTCTAACACCCCCCTCTTCAAATAACAAGGTCAGCCCCTGATCCTTCCTCTCCCCAGCTCAAGAGCAACAAGGCTTCTGACAGGTCAACATGTTTCTTCCATAAGTTAGTTTAATCGTGAGGCAGCACTGTGTAGACAGACGGGAGGGTGGGGTTCCAAGACAGTCCTGGATTCAAATCCTTCTCTGACATTTTAGCTGGGGGAAATTTGACAGAGTTACYGAACTCTTAGAGCTTCAGTTGCCTGATCTGTAAAACGGTATTGATACTGTTATTACACCATGCAGAGATAGAATGGAGAAAGGAGAAGCTGCACTTAAGAAATCCAAGTGTGGCCAGGCACAGTAGTGCACACCTGTAATCCCAGCCGCTCGGGGGCTGCACTCACTTGCATTTCCCCAAATGGGCTGGGTGGTCATTCCAGAACCCGAAATGACCTGCTTCCCCTCTGTCTTCCTGAACAACACTAACTTGTGGTGCAGGAGATGAACTGGGACTTTTGAGACAGGGGTTTGAAGTTTGAGGCAGGAAGATCCACAAGTTTAAAGTGATCAGCAACTTAGCAAGGCCCTAAACAATTCAGCAAGATTCTGTCTCTAAATAAAATATAAAAAGGACTAGGGATGTGGCACAGTGGTTGAGTGCCCCTGAGTTCAATCCCTGGTAACAAAAAGAAAAGAAAAGAAAAGAAAAGAAAAGAAAAGAAAAGAAAAAGAAAAAGAAAGGGAAAGAAAGGGAAAGAAAGAAAGAAAGAAAGAAAGAAAGAAAGAAAGAAAGAAAGAAAGAAAGAAAGAAAGAAAGAAAGAAAGAAAGAAGAGAAAAGATATCCAAGTGGGTGTATCTGTTAGGTTTTGCTACAATGATGCTACCTAACAAACAGCCCCAGGATTTCAGCAGCCTAAAACAGTAAACAGCTATTTCTTGCTGACTACCACAGTGAGCTGGGAAGCTTTGCCTCAGCTGCAGGTCAGGTTCTGTTGGGTCCAAGTTTCTCTCATTCCCAGGCCAGCGCCCCCTGGAGTTGCTCTTCTCCTGGCACAGAAGGGAGCCAACAGGGCCACCCAACCGCAATTCACTCAGAGCCTCTGGTCAGGCAGGGCGTGCGCGCGAACTCTGTTCCAGCCCTCAGACTTGTGGGTCACGTGAGTAAACAAGAACTCTCYTCTGTCCACAGGGAAGCCAGGCAATGGAGCAGGGGAGCCAGGAAGAACTGTGAGCTGATGATAGGGCTACACAGTCCCGAATCAACAGAAGCCTTGATGTTCCATTACCCTGAAGTGGGTCCACAGCCGCCCCTTCTGTCTGTCACCTCTGCCCCTCTCTAACTCAGATCCTCCCTGCTTTCTGCCTGCATGGCTGCCAGAGCTTCCAGCAGCTTCTGGGCAGTGCTGTCTTCCCCGGGCCCATCCAGCCAATGCTCTGCCCTTCGTGTTCCCAGGATTCATCCTGATCCACATTAATAATTATTAACCCAACCAACAGAACTAAAATCATTAACTCCAGATGCCTTAGTGTGGCCTTCACCATCTGGCCACCACCTATGTGCCCCACCCCACCTCTGGCCACCAGCCTCCCTGCCTCAGTAGAGCCCATCTCCACCACCCGAGGTCCTGTCTCCCCCCAGCCCAGCTCTTCCGGGCCCTGCGCCTGCGCATGCTCTCTTCCCGTCCCTGCGCCTGCGCATGCTCTCTTCCCGTCCCTGCGCCTGCGCATGCTCTCTTTCCTGTCTAAATGTCCTTCCCTCTCTTTTCTGGAGTCCCACTCACCTGTCAACCTGTACCAACGCAGGGTCCTTCCCAGGACTCCAAGGAGGGGGCCACTCCCTTTGTGCTCCCACCACCCACTCGCCCCAGGCCCACACTGTGGTGTGAACGTGCCCACGTGTGTCAGTGTCACACCCACGGTGACACCATGAACAAAGGGAGACACTGGAAGCTTATTCCCCAGGTCAGCACGAGGCAAGGACGCGCTCTCACCACTTCTGTTCAACAGAGTACAAGAGTCGTCATCAGGAGCAGTTAGACAGGGAAGAGAAATAAATCCCTTTTACCTGCAGGTGACGTGGTCATACCAAGAAGACCCCAAGGACTACACACACACACACACACACACACACACACACACACACAGAAAGTTAAATCTAATAACTGAACTCATAAGATTTCAGGATATAAAATCGACATATAAAGATCTTTGACATTTCTATATACAAATAACTACCTAGACAAAAAAGAGAAAACAAACCCATGTATGATAGCATAAAAAGCTGATTAATTAGGAATAAATTAACAAAGAGATGAAAGGCCTACACACTGAAAACTATAAAACATTGATGAAAAATTAACATACTAATGGATCAAAAGAATTAATATTTATTGTTCAAGTGTCCATATGACCCAAAGCAACATAGAGACTCCACATAATCCCTGTTGAATTCCAATGACATTCTTCATAGAAACAAAAAACAAAATTCTAAAGCTTCTATAGAATATCCCCACCACCCCCCACTCACACAACACACACACACACACACACACACACACAGCCAAAGCAGTTCAGTTCTGACGGAAAAACCCAAGGAGGAGGCGTCCTGCCTCCTGGGTGTGAGTTGCATTACGATGGCTGGGCACAGCGCAGTGCTAGAGCATGCGCTTAGCGGGTGCAAGGCCCTGGGTTCGATTCCCACCAACAAATGTGTGTGTGAGAGAGTGAGTGTGTAAACAKCCCTTCCACAATGTCAACCCATTCTGCCTCCAGGACCTGGCTGGCCAACCCTAGCCTGGCACCTTCACATGCCTCCTCTGCACCCTCGCCAGCCAACGGGGTCCAGCAGGCAGACCTGGCACACAGCGGCAGCTGCTGCTGTCAGAAAGGCAGTCCTCCACCGGGGAGGGGGCCACTGACTGCTGGCCCACCCAGGGGAGAACAGAGTCCCCTGCTGAGCTCCTGTGGGCCTGTCCCGCTGTCCCCTCCCTTCCAGGTCTGAGAGCAGGAGGAGGGGAGAAATTCAAGGTTCTGTGGGCCTCTCTTCAGGGCCAGGTTTAAAGCGCCCTCTGGTGCCTTGAAGGCGATCAGAGGGTACACGCCTGCCAAGGCCTCCCGAGCTGAAGGAACGTGGCAGTCCTGAGTGCCACAGTGTCCCCAGCATCTTCTCCTGCCGTGAAGGCAGCCCACATGGTCATGCAACTGTTCAAGGCAGGCCCTGGGAGAGGAAGGCAAAGCTCCTCCCTCCCCTCCCCTCCTGGGGGCTAACCCTAACCCTAACCCTAACCCCCCTGGTAAAGACAGAGGCAGAGGCCAGACCAGCACTGGGAAAGGGCCAAGGGGAAGTGCAACAACAGGGGTTCTGTTGGGTACGTGGTTAGGACCTCACTGCAGAGGGAGAAAGAGCTGATCCTAGCAGGAGGCTGCCATCCCAGAGGGGCACGTGCAAAGGTCCTGAGGAGCAGAGGTTGGGGGTACAGAAGGCAGAGAAGGGGGCCGCCTGTAGCTGCAGCAGGATACAGGGAGGGTGCAGGGGAAGGGGCTGCAGGGGATGGGGGCCACATGAGATGAAGCAGCAAAGGCCAGGTGCAGAAAGRACTCACTGAGCCTGAGCAGGAGTTGGTATTGTCCTCTAAAAGCAGTGGAGGACCGTTGAAGGAGTCTCACTAGGTGGTTTGATTTGATTTACATTTTTTGAACAATTAGCATTACTGTCCTGCGGTCCCTGTGTTATTAATGTCACTAAAACAGCAAGCCACTTTTCAGATTAAAACACTGCATGGCCCCTTCTCCTTTCCCACCCCCATCCTCCCCTTAGGGTGTGCTCTTAGGGGGAGCTGATAGCCCTTTCATTCCCCAGGGGACCCGGCAGAAGGGCGCCCCCCACCTGCAGCTGCCCCAGACTCCTCCCTGACTCACTTCCACCCGTGCAGCCGACCACACCCCACGGGAACCTTCTGCAATCCCCGGAGCCTTCCAACGCCTCTTGACAGGGACAAGGATGCCCACAGGGAGTGACAAGCCTATCCCCTAGAGGGAACATCCGTGGGGACCATCCAAGCTGCCCTTGGCTTCCCTAAGAGACCTCGGAATCCCCACCCCCATCCTTCACCTGGCAGTGGTGACAGGCATCTGTGATACATGCCACCAGGGTCCTAGAGAGCTCGTGCAAGGGGGCCTCTTGCGCCCGCCCCTCATCTGTGACTCCCAAGGCCAGGGCCCACGACGCCCACCCACCTGCTCCTGGTCTCTGGTTTGCGCTCCAAGGTCGTGAGGCAGCGCGGCGGCAAGGGCACCGGCGCCCCCTGCTGCCCACGCCCCTCCACAGCAAGGCTCCCGTCCCTGCGGGAGAACCGAACGCGGGCCACTTTAAGCCGAGTGTAGTATTTTGTAACTGGGGACAGTGGTGTCTTGGGTCAGCTGAYTTTCCTGAACACCTACGCCCAAGAAACAGTTCCGAGGGGAGAGGGGGTGGTTAACTGTGCTGACTTTGTTTTTAAGATGATAAGGTTGACCGTACCTGTCATCTCAGTGACTCAGAAGGTCGCGGCAGGAGGATCCCAAGTTCAAGGCCAGCCTGGGCAAATTAGCAGGAACCTCGGCAATTTAGTGAGACCCTGTCTCAAAAATAAAATAAATTTTTAAAGGACTGGGAATGTAGCTTGGTGGTAAATGACCCAAGTTCAATCCCCAGTGCTCCGGAGGAGGGTGGGGAGGACAGACTGAAGAAAAGGCAGCGGAGTTTTAAATCTGGCAGAAGGGACTATTGCTGCAACTTATTAGCTGTGTGAGCGTGGCCCAGAGTTCCCCTGTGTCCTGCCTGGGTGGCCATGTCTACCTGACCAGGTCACTCAGCCAACTCAGCAGGGACTCACAGACATGGACAGCCATAGCTGTGGACATCAGAAGAGCTTTGAAGTGGGGAGGGTGGTGAAACYGAAGACAGCAGCTAGCGCCGCTCCAACTGGAACCTCTACCGTCTGGGTGGCCAGACACAGGAGTCCTGATGCACACGTGGGCGGCTGGGAGGTTTGGCTCAGCAGTTTGGAGGCCATCTTGTGGCAGGGATGCCTTTCCTCGTGCACACCAGCTACCACAGGAGCCAGCTGTCCCCTGGATGCCCAGCTGCACAGTCCCGCCCCTCCACTCTGTGGCCATGAGTCCAAATCCTGGTTTCAGAGCTCAGGAACGCGTTGAAGCTGCCAGATGTGCCAGCTCCCTCTGCCTCTGCATAAGGCCACAACAGAAGGTGTCCGTCAGTTCGGGCTGCTATGACAAAATGCCAGGAATTCAGCGGCCTGTCAACAGTGGACATTGTTTCTGGCAGTGTGGGGGCTGGAATCTGAGATCAGAGCGTGAGCACACATGGGTTCTGTTGCAGGACCTTCCCGTCGCAGATGGCAGAAGACAGCTCTGACTCTGGCCTCTTCTTACAGGGCACTAATTCCGTTCATGAGGTCCCCACCATGGTGACCTCCTACCTCCAAACAACGTCACACTGGGATGAGGAGGGGTTCAACCTACAGATCTGAGGGAGGCTCAAGCAGTAAGAGATTGATGGATAATTTGTGTGCCCCTAGTGAGAGCTATAGGGACAGGAACCCATGTCAAGTTCCCCTTGAGAATCGTCCCTGGGGAGCGAGGCAGCTGCTCTTGACAGCTAAGCCCTGAGCTACTCAGGAATCTGCCCACCTAGGAGCCCAGACGACGCTGGTTTGGACGCCCACTGTTCAGCCATGATGGGTGGACACTGGCAGTGACCTGCTCTGATGGCTCTAAGTTCATGTCCCTTACGGTGACTCTTTTCTTTCTTTCAATTTTTTTTTTTTTTACAAAATGTCTCCTGCATATGAAAATGTACCAGGGAAAACCCAACGGACGCCGCCTCCGCGTGGTCTCGGTGCTTAAGACAGAAGGCGCTTCAGACGCAGCCGAGCTCCGCCCTTGGTCTCCATGCAGCCTGCCCTACCACTCCACGCCGCTGRGCCCGGAGCCCACTCCTTCCTCACCTGTGGCTAAATTTGACTCCCTGTGGATGTCACTCCAACACCGGGGAGTGTTTTGCTGTTGACCTTGACAGTTGACATTGTTTGGGGGATTGTCACGTGGACACATGGAGTTCTGGCCTGTTTGTTTTCACTCCTGTGAAATAAATATTCCCCGTAGGAGCAGCCCCTACTCGTCCAGACTCAGGCTGTTCCCCAGGCGGGAGCAGCGCAGCCATGAGCTGCCCACACACCTGCGGGGGCCTCTGGAGCTGGCGCTGGGGAACAGGGTTCTGGCCTTCAGGAAAGCGCTCTCCAGCCTGCCCAGGCCGCCCACGGCTCTCCCGTCTTCTACCAGCTTTCTCTCTGGCCGTCCCTCCCATTGCTCCAGTTTGGTTGTAGTTGTCCCCAAGGGTACATTGGGCAGGAACCCTGGTCCCCAGTGTGCCAGTGTCAAGAGGTGGGGAACTTCTAAGAGGTGGAGCCTAGTGGGAGCAGGTAGGTCACTGGTCATATTGACATTTGCCGTTCGCATGGTTCCTGGGGGACCCTAAGTTAGTTCTCATGAGGGGGTTGTTGTGAGAGGGAGACCCTGGCCGCTCCTTCCCTTTAGCTTCCTATCAAGCCACGTGATCTCACACGCACATGTTTCTGCCATGGTACCATCTGCCACAGGACTTTCAGCAGATCTAAACAAAGACAGCCTCCAAACTGTCAAAAACTGGTTTTTCAGCCTCCCAAACTGTGAGTTAAACAAACCTTTTTTCTTCACAAACACTCAGATTCCGGTATTTTGTCATAGTAACAGAAAAGACTAACACATGCATCCTGCCACCTTTGCTAATCTGATGTGTAGGAAGTGGTATTAGTTATTGTGGTCATTTGTCTCCCCTTATTATAACCCTGAGATCCTAATACTTGTGTCCTGCACACGCTGGCTCCTCTCCTGCACGTTGCCTTGGTGTGAAACAATCCATTTTCCCTGTTGCTTAAGCCAAAGCCAGGAAGCTTGTTGACTTRTGGGTGAAGCTGATGACTGAGACCTCACCCCTCTGTCTGCTTGGACTGAGAGGCTCCAGTTTAAGGTCCACCCTCAGAAGCTCAGAGTCCAACCAGGCTGTGCAGACTTGCCAAGCTCCAACAGGGCCATGCGACCAGCCTGACACCGGCCACAGCCTGATTCAGTTGTTCCCGGCACCTCTCCCTTCATCACCTTGGCAAAGCCCCCAAACCAGAGGCTGAGGCCCCAGGGTGCTTAGAGCCCCGAGAGCATTCATGCCAGCAAAGACAGAGACCAGAGTTCTCCTGCAGCACCCAAGTCAGGGTCAATCCCAGCGTTTTGTCCCTGTGGGCAAAGACTGCTAAGAGCTCACCATGGGGCCAATCGTAATAGCAACCCAACGAAAAGAGGGCAGCCACCCGAGTGTCCCCCAGCACAATCGGCTGAATGAAGAAACGTTAGCTCCTCCACAAACGCACTTGAGAGCCACCCAAAACCGTGGGGCACCCAGGTCAAGGGAGCCTCTCAGGAGCCTTCCTGTGGGTCCTCAGACCCCCTGCAGCCCACGGGCCACTGCCGACCGCTGCCTCTGAATGTCAGCGGGCGGACAAGGGTCCCGAGGGCTCCCAGAGGTTCCTGTGCACACTAACAGGGCGAGCTCAGCACCGCGGGGCCCAGGAAACACTCAACAAGCTCACTGTGAGTTAAGAGGGAGAAAGCAGGTTACATGGCAATTCGGTGCATGAAAAAGTGGTCCCGTGTGTGTGTGTGTGTGTGTGTGTGTGTGTGTGTGTGTGTGTCCTGACAGGTGCCTAGGAACCCCGCTGACAGCAGTTACCTATGCCGTTACCTCCAGATCCTGATTTCTGAACCTCGGCTCCATCCCATCTAGGGCCTGGTGATTCTGGGGGAGGGGCTGTCCTGGTCACTGCAGGATGCTCAGCGCGTCCCTGGTCTCCTCCACTAGAGGCCAGTAGTACCTCGCAGTGATGCCCATCGACCTCTGAGGGCCCCTGGCCCCAGGTGGGAACCAGCGCTCCAGATGGAAAGCATCACAGGGGTCCTTTCCCTGCTTTTAGGACATGGGCCTGTTTTTCATATCGTTTGTTGTTGTTTTCACTAAAATGAATATAAAGTATTTACTCACATTAAAAATTAAAAAAAAACTTGGTGTTTCTTAATGGTCCATGGCCTGTGCCATCAAAAAATAAAAACAGATAAGACATTCGTGTTGGTATGTACAGTAAGTAAGCCAATTTTATTAGCATTTTAAAATAGTTACAGAAAAACATAAAAGTCCTACCCAAATGTCAATGTCCCTTAGGAGACATTAAAATATTTCTAACCTTTGGACGAGGCCTCTGGATTTGAGGCGTCTACTTATCCTTTGGTATCCTCAGGGCTTGGTTCCAGGGCCCGTGTGGGTACCAAAGCCTGAGGATGCTCAGGCTCCAGTCCTGTGTACAAGCGGCCCGGTGTTACCTATGTCCCGTGCACATCCTCCATACACTTTACCGTCTCTGGATTACCTACAATGCCTTATAAGGTGTGCGTGCTGGGTAAACAGTGGTAACACCGTGGTGTGCAAGCACAGAAACACCTTTCCCTCAAATGTGGGTTACAAAATTGAAACACTGGGTTACAAAATTAAAAATATTGGATCATCACCGAGCCGTATAACAATCAAAAGAATCCCCGCATCCTCCTGATGAGAAGAAATACATCCGGAGGTTAAAACATAACTGTTTAATTGAAAAAAACCATCACAGGTGATGTTTTTCCCTAATATTCTGAAGTGTCCAACTTTGCTATAATAAACATGTACACATTTATAGTGAAATAAAAAAGAGTGAATTTTATTTTTAAAAATACGTCAAAATGATCACAAAATTTCAGGTAAGGAATGTGTCTTCACATTAACCTATACACAAATTTCCATCCAGGTGATCAAAGTAATTTTGTTCAAAAATTAGACCTACTCAGAAACTAGAATATTAACCAAACATGTCTGTAGCTACATTCAATCAGCTCTGAGGACAAAATTGAAGTGGTTGCTCTGCGGATAGATGGTCAGTAATAAGGCTGTAAGTGGTCACTGATAAATTTCAACAGGAAGTGCTTTTTATGAAAAACAAACTGTGCATTTTGTTTTGACATTTTTTTCCCAAACTAAGATCACATTTCACTCAAAAGGAAATAAAATGATTTGGGTTTGATTAGAATCAACTAACAGAGGGTGGATCTGGGGCTCCTCGAAGGCTTTGATCTAATTGTTTGCCCACAGGACACACAATCACGCAGACAAAGGAGCCTCCTCGGGTTAGTCAGGCCATGTTTGCCCAGCCCGGCCATTCCCAGGTGGCCCCGGGCACTGCCCCGCCAGCTGACCCCAATCCTGTGTGGACCAGACTAGGTCTTACAATAGACTTCAAAGAGAGAGGCAGCCGCGTGCATTCGATAGAAAATAGAAAACGGCATGGCCAGGTTGACCACAATTATCCAGGGTTCGAAGCCGAAGACGACTTCCTCCAGTCCGTTGTCGTACTCAGGGCGACAGCCAAAGGCGGGAGGTACCCAAAGCTGCAAAAGAAGAGGGAGTCTGTCAAGGTGAGCGGCTTCCCATCCTGGAGGGGGCCGCACTTCCACCAGGAACCACAGGGGGGCGCTGCCCAGATCCCGGAGCCTGTGTCACTCCTGGCAGGATGCTGAGCCCCTCAGGCTCCTGTTTCCATGGAAACGTCCCACCCACCAGCCTCCCGAGAGCCTGCTCCATCCTCACCCACAGGTCCTGGCAGTCAGTACCGTGGGCACCTGTCCCCTCCTCTCCTTCCCCACCAGCCCACCCAGCCTCAGTTTCCTCATCTGTAACACAGGAAGACTAGCACCTCTGAGAGGCCCTAGGTGAGAATTCAGTTGGTAAAATGTACAGAAATGACCCGCACGCCGGCCCCACCCCCCTCAGTCTGGCCAGGTCCCTTCCCCTCCGCCACTGTCAGTGCACCCTGCTCGGTCCGGGACTCTTGCTCCTCCTGTCTGCTTCTGGAGCGCCCTCCACTCCCACTCCCRGCAGCAGCCCCTAGCATGACCCCAGTGTCCCCAGCTCCTGGAGTCACGGCCTGTGCAGTTCCATCCCCTGGAGTGCAGGGGAGCCCACAGAGCACTCCTAACAGAACAGGCAAAAGTCACCTGCAAGAGAGCAGGCTGGGGTCCTAGACTGTCCCAGGCTGAGCCGCCCTCTGGAGAGGCCCGGGTTGGGTACAGAGAAGGTCTCAGGCCAGTAGCCAGCAAGGAGCACGGGCCCTCAAACAGCCCCGAAGGAGCAGAATCCTGCCAGTAGCCATGGGATGGGGTCTGGAATGAGATCCCCAGATGAGRCCTTGGAGGGACGCGGCCTGCCCACAGCCTGCAGCCTGGAAGGGCCCTGARCAGACCCAGCTGAGCTGCACTTGGACTTGCAGAACCGAGACGCCATGAAGTGGTTAATGTTTGTGGTGCTGAGCTGCCAAGCTTGGGGTGGCTTCTTACCCAGCAGAGGTCACTGACACGTGTGGCCTCATAACATCCCCGACGACTCCCCCAGCCTGCTCCCGAGCCTCTGGGGGCCCTCCTGACACTTTCGCTGGCTCTTTCCAGTCCCCTCTGCCAGCTTCTCCTTTACTGGGCCTCTTATGGCCGTCAGGTCCCAGGCTCTTCTGGGCCCCTCCCTTCTCTGCGCACGTGAGCCCCAGAGCTTTCCCCTGTCCCTGGTTGTGACTGCCACAGGCCTCCAGGAAACTCCGGCTCTAGAGAAACCCCAGGAGCAGGCCAGCTTTTGTCCCTTCCTCTCCTCTGCATGCCACCACTTCCTCCCTGGCTCATGCCTGTCCTGTCCTGCCTGGGCTGCTGCGGGCCTCCCTCCCAGGCTGCAGCCCACTGGTCTCCCAGCCGCGGGCCTGACCTCTGCCCCCTTCCTGCACATGGCTGCCTGGGCATCGTTCCAAGAGGATGCCAGAGCGCCCCGTCCTGCCCTCAGCACCAAGGCTGAACCCCAGCCCAGGCAAGGAGGCCACTCACGCCAGAGCCCACCCAAGGGGACCCTCCCTCCTGTGTCCCACTCTGCCTCTCTGCTAGACATGGATGTGGTCCATGCTCCGTGCTCCCAAAATATGCCACAGTGTCCGCGCCTCTGAGTCTTTGCACATTATATGCCTCTGCCCAAAATGCTTTTCCCTGTCTTGACCACTTGGTCCCAACCAGTCCCTGAGGCTGAGTCAAGCAATTTTATGTGAGTGACCACAGCTTCTTCATGATTGGCTTCAGTCACGGGGCTGGAAAGCAAACCCTCCATGCTTCCAGCACCTGTTGCAGCAAGGGGTGGCCATGGGAGAGACACTGCATAGCATCAACCTGTCCCTTCTGTTTCCCATCTTGAGCCCAAACCTGATGCCTGGTACTGCTGCAGCCATCTTAACACCATGTGGCAGCAAGCACCATGCAGAGTATGGCTGAGAGGAAAGATGGAGTTCCATGGCATGATTCAGCTGCAGACCCAACCCAAGCAGAAGATCCTCAGCGTCCTGTGAGAGCGGTAAATGTCACTGAGATGCAAGCCCATCATCTGTAACCAAAGTAATGCTGACTGATACTRGCAGGGAAGTGCCCCCTGGATCCTCACTCTTATTGCACATGGCAACGGTGCTCKACCTTCCCAAGGGAAGAGCTGGCGTCCTCTCACCTGCCCTCTGCGCACCCTGTGCTCCACCAGGATTCCCAGAACTCGAGTCCGCTTTTAACCTCACATTCACTCTGGGTACCACCCACCCCCACCCCTGATTTGGAAAAGGTGAGGAAAACAGATTAGCTRATTGGCAGACCATCCCAGGAGCTGGGGGAGGATTACCGAGATGTTGCAGAGGAACAGGAAGACGGCCACATTCCTCAGGACGCTCCTCCTGGTGCTGCCCTGCAGGACACGAGGCTCGCGAGGCGGGCGGCCCCGCTCCTCTTCCTCTTTGCCACAACCGGGCTGCAGACTCCCGTTGACCGCCCTGAAAGAGGCCAGGGAGGAGGTGCCGCCGCTGCAGACGGCGACCACGCGGAGMGTGCGGATGTCCTCGCGGAGCGGCTGGGGCTCGCGGTGGACAGACTCAATGATGAAGAGGTTCTGGATGTACTTCTCGGCGATCACCAGGACCGAGTAGGGCAGGTTGAACCAGGTGTAGCGCGGGCGGGTGGTGGCGCAGAGCATGGCCAGGATGGAGCCCCAGGAGATGAGCCAGGAGCCCGAGGCCGTGCCCACCAGGAGGTCCGCGTCCAGCTTGCGGGCCGGGTTTTTGGACTCATCCAGCGACTGCTCGTCCATCCTGCAGACCCAGATTCCCAGCAGCCCCGCGGCGCCCATGAGGGTCAGCAGGCTGGTGGCCGACAGGTAGAAGAGCACCAGCGCCCACTCGCTCTGGGTCCTGGAGCGCCCGATGTGGACCAGGTACACGGCCACCACCCCGATGGTGGCCGCCAGCACGCCCAGGCCCAGCGCCGCGCCCGCCATCCCCCGGCTGAACTGGAACCGCATCTCGGGGCGCGCGGGGCTGTCCACCYTGCGGCCCACGTTCTTCCACAGGACGTAGAGCATGGTGGAGGCCAGGATCTGGTACTCGATGTTGAAGGGGTACAGGTAGTAGATGACGCGCGACACGGCCGGGCACAGCGCGGGCGGCGTGCAGTTGCACTGCGGCGTGTGGTCGTCCAGGACTGGGGGGACAGGAGAGCCSGCCGTCAGCACAGAGCCGCCACCCTGGACGCCAGGCGGCCTCCCGCCCAGCAAGCCGCGCAGGGAGTGCGCTGGCCCGTCCCTCCGCGCTGAGAGCACGGGCAGCTGTAGGACCGGTCACCCCCAGTGCGCTCACCGGCTGCTCTGAACTGAAACAGGGGCCCAAGAGGAGACCCTGCCTCCACCTTCGTGAGATAGAGACTCGTGGCTGACACCTCCGCAGGCTGGTGGCCGACAGGTAGAAGAGCACCAGCGCCCACTCGCTCTGGGTCCTGRAGCGCCCGATGTGGACACGAGCCAGAGGGGAGCCGTGGGCACAAAAATCCAGCAAAAGGGAAGAGATTTCTGTTTTTTTCTGCATTGGCTTTTCTGTATTACTGAATTTTCTCATGAATATGATCTCTGTGTGTGGTTTAAAAATTATTTTAAATGCTCTGTAGGGAAGATGCCCCTCCAGTTAGCAAAGGCTTTCCCTGAAGACACAGGCCCTGGCCAGAGTGGCATGGGATGGGCACACGCAGACACCGGTGCCAGTGGCAGAAATTGGTGCCACCGCTGGAAGACAAGGGAGCCACAGAACAGAGGACCATTTGACCCAGCTATCCCACTCCTCAGCATGTACCCCCAAGGACTTCAAATCAGCATGCTATAGTGACCTGGCCACATCAATGTTTATAGCAGCTYAATTCACAATAGCAAAACTAGGGAACCAACTGAGGTGCCCTTCCACAGATGAATGGAAAGAGAAAATGGGGCATATATACATAATGGAATATTACCCAGCCTTAAAGTAGAATGAAATTATGACTTTTGCCAGTAAATGGATGGATCTGGAGACTATCATGCTAAGTGAAATAAGCCAGCCCCAAATAAAACAAAGGCCAAATGTTCTATCTGATATGTGGATGCCAACACACACAGGGGAGGGAAGAATAGAAGTTCAGTGGATCAGACAAAGGGAAAGGAAGGGAAGGGAGGGGAGGTGGGAACAGGAAGGACAGTGGAATTAATCGAATATCACCTTCCTATGTTCCTATGTGAATACACGACCAGTGAAGCCCYACATCTTGTGCACCCACTGGAATGGGATCCTAATTACAATGAGTTATTCTCCAATATGTATAATATGTCAAAGCACACGCCACTGTCATGTGTATCTAAAAAGAGCAAAAAAGAGAAACCTGCTGAAAAATGAATTTTAAAAATCCATGCCAAAAAAATTTACAATATTCATCTTAAAACATCTTAGAAGATGTATTAAGACTTAGAGTTAATTAAAATAATGGCCATAATCATAAAAAAAAAAACAATAAAGTCAGGCACAGAGGTGCAGGCCTGTAATCCCAGCAACCTGGAGGCTGAGGCAGGAGGACACCGTTCAAAACCAGCTCCAGCAACCTAGCTAGGCCTTAAAGATAAAAAAATAAAAAAGACCTGGGGAGGTGGCTCAGTGGTCACCACCTCTGGGTTCAAGCATTGATATCAAAAATAAAATAAATAAAAACTAAAGCAAAGATTCTTTACAAGTATGTTTTAATGAGATTGGAAAATAATCATCTTACAAGGAAGAAAAATTGTATAGCCAGCATTTTCTAAGTGCTTGGTAAACCAATATCAGATTGTGAAGCCTACTGAGAGGGTAGCAGCCAATATTTTTGTGGACCAAATGGATTATAATGGAATAGAATAGAGATGGAGAGAACAGAGTCGAGTCAAATGCACTGGAAACTTGAGTGTTTCAGCAGAAGGAGAGGAAGCCTTACTGCTGCTGTGATTCCAAGGGGGAGTGAGCACACAGGAGGGCTTCCCGGGGGGTGGCCACCAGAAGAGGAGTTACAATGTGTGCCTGAATTTGTCACCCTCACTCCCAATGGGGAGCAGGCTCCAAGTGGCTCTCAGGACTGGCCTGGGGTTGCAGAGCTAGACCTGCAGCTCACTAGAGCAGGAAGGAGWCTTTGAAAGTACAAGGTCCTCCAATTTAAAAGAGAAAAGGTAGGCTCAGAGAGGTCACATGGCTTCCCAGGGCCACACAGCTAGGGCCAGGTGAGGGCAGAACCGAAGCTCCCAGGACATTGCAGTCTCAGGTGTCCCAGGATGTCCCAGGACAGAGGTCACAAAACCTTAGGAACTCTGGAAGGAAACAAGAAGACTAATACTGTAGGCTCTCAAGTAGGAATGGGAGGGWATCCATGGGCCTGGAGCACAAGGCAAGCCCAGCTCAACGAACACTTCCTGCCCACTAACGCCACCAAGCCCAGCCTGCCACTAGACTCCCAGGGTCCCTCAGCCATGACTTTAGTAGAAAGACCTCACACCAGAGGTTTAACCAAGAACACCAACGGCAGCAGCCGCCCATCTCCCCCAGTGGAAAACAGAGTCTCCATCCCCGCAGGCCGCACCACGCCAGGAGCAAAGGCAGCCRCTGACTGCCCTGGGCTCCAGCCCTGGGTCACAGAAGCCTTCCTTGCGCTCAGCTCAGCGGCTCAGCGACCCGCCTAGAGAGGCAGGGACAGCGGGGCTTCCGACCAGTGAGGAGCCCACTCGGCCACCTCGGCCACCTGGGCCACCCCRGCCACTCTGGCCCTGTGCAAGGGCCCCGCTCACCTAAGGTGATGTTCCCGAAGCCCAGAGTGAGGAGCCGCTCCTTGTGCTCGTTCAGCTGGTGCTTGGACTCGTTCAGGACGCTGTTGGCCCAGAGGAGCAGGTTGGTGACCACAGAGTGGATCACCCCGAACCTGGGGAAGGACACGAGGGCTCGGCTCTTGAGTGGCCCTGGGACAGACCCAGGCCCCCTGGGGTGAGAGGGGCGCACATGCACACACGTGCACTCACACGTGCGCGCACCTCCTTCTCCACTCTCCACTCTCACCCCCCCCCCCCAGGCTCTGGCTGGCTCTGGCTGGCTGGGCGAGGCAGTTCCCGGGACCTTCCAAAACCACAGAGTTTTTGCATTCTGCCTTCATCTTGAACTCCCTGGACTCAACTCATTGTCTCGGGGACATCAAAGGAACTGTCTTGGAAGCTGGCCTCTGGGGAAGAGACTTCACCATGAGAAGACACCCCACCCACAGCCAAACCTGTCCTCCAGAGGGAAGAGGAGGGGGAGAACAATGAGAGGAAGAGATGGAAGGGCTACCCTGGACACCTGGAGTGTGGGTACAGCTGCCCTGCCGACTGACCACCCAGCTATCATCACCCAGCCTCCTGCCTTCCCACCTACCTCCCACACATGACACAAGCCAGAGCCTTGCTGTCCGGCTCCCCTTGCAACCAGACTTAGCCATTCTGGTCACTGGGGTGTGAGGGTCACTGGGGTGTGAGGTTCAGTCTATGGGGCACTACTTAAAAGCTTTTGCATTTTTTGATGAAAGAGGTAAGAATGAGAGAAGTCTGTCTCCCTCTTATGACCTTCTTAAGTGTAGACATGAAGGCTGGAGTTGTGGCAGCCATATTATGACCATGAAGCAACCAGGATGTGATGAAGTACCAACTTGCTGAAGATGGCAAAGCAGAAACCTAGAAAGATCCTGCTCAGTGATGATGTCATTGAGCTTCTGGAGTCCCACTGAGGCTCAGGACTTAGCCTATGGTCACACATACAGTAAATAGCCACTCTGGCTGGACTTGTCACCAAACACTCCACCAGYAAGGCTGAGGCAGTGTGAGGTCCCTGTCCCACTCAGGTGGCAAATCCTGGAGACAGACGCCTGAAGCATGGCCCAGAGTAGTGCTGCCTGGTGAAAAGACGATGCAGGACCACATGAGAGCCACCCAGGACGCTCCAGAGTACCTGTGGCCATACTTCAGAGACAGTAAAAATGGGCAAGTCAAATAGTTGTAATAAAACTTCATTAAACCCAGCACACCTGAGGCCACATCATGGCGACATACAATCGAACCCCGAAATCCTACTGGGGYGCTTTCCGCCCTGTTTCGTTCTAGACTCTGACATCTGCAATGTATTCCACACACACAGCACGTGTCCATCTGGAGGGGCCACCRTCCACGGGCTGGTCGCCCCCAGTGGCTGTGGGCTGCTGTGCTGCCCAGCCCAGACCTGAAGGCCGGGCTGAGTGGGCCTCTGCTGGAGGGACAGGGTCAGGGCCGTAGTCAACAGTGGCTGGAGCAAGGAAAAGCACTGCCCCCATGGCCCTCAGGGCCACCACCCACCGGCGACAGAGTCAGCCAGGCTCAGCCAATGCCAGATCCAGGGGGGTGGAGGTGGGGCTTCCGGGGCTAATAAAACCGGAGTCAAAATTCACTGCCAAGGCCACCACAGGGRCCACTGCTGCCCAGGGCCACTAAAGAGCGCCATTCACCACAGCCAAGGATACCCTGTGTCTCCTGGCTTATCCCCATGGCACACAGGAAGCCCCGAGATGCCCACACACCTGACGTCCACCCTGCTCTGCACAGTGAGGTGGGCAAAACCTATTTCTATTCAACGGCCTGTCGAAGCAGCTCATCCAGTGGTCACGCGCAAGTCAGTGTTTTAATATCAGCTGTCACCCGATGCCACCAAACGGTAGTGAGGGGGCTTCCCTCCCTCGGGGAGAGCTTGTAGGCAGGAGATCATTCAGTAAAGCAAATACRGATCACCTGAAGCACCCGCGTGGGGCCCGGGGCCTCTGCTACGTGCGACTAGGGTGGCTCTCCCCCTGGTCCTGGAGATGGAGTCCTCTGCCCTCACAGTYAGCAGAGAGCCAGGCGGGCCCTTCAGGACAGACCCTGCACTTGCCAAGCCTCTGCTCCGTGTCCACGGCCTCACTCAGTCTCCGGGAAGGCCACCGAGTCGTCCCCATGGCAGAGACGAGGAAACAGAGGGCCATGAAAGGGAACTGGTGCAGGTGGCCGAGTCAAAACTAAACCCTGCTCTACCTCCAGGGCCGTCCCAGGRAGGTCCACGAGGAGGGCTCCGCTGTCCAGCCCTGAGCAGAGAGGGGGTCCCTGTGTTTACCACCCAGCAAGAGGCGGCTGGGAGGCTTGTTCCTGCTAAAAGAACCCCAAACCCCACACGCGCGGCGGGCCCCCAAGTTTTACCTTTCCAGAGTCTTGAAAGACTGGATGATATCCCTGGCATGTCCCCAGAGAAAATACACCTAGGCGGAAAGGAAGAGGAAGTGACATGAGTGGGACAAGTGTCGCTGGATCTGCACACTTGAGGAGTTTAAAATCTGAAGGAAAGGTCCAAGAAAACGCTGGGGACATGAATGACCTCCCACCCCAAGAAAGGCAAGTGGCTTTCCTCTCTCAGGTGCAGCATCATGGCCCCGTGGGGACAGTGGGCTGGGAGCACCTGGGGAGAGCAGGTGGGGCCGCCCGGGTCTGGGGGGAGGGGTGCTGTGGTCGACTTGTGAGGTCTTCTTTGGATGGAGTCCTGCCGTCGACTGGGGAGGTCTGCGGTGAGGCAGGGGTGGGAATTGAAGCCTGCCTGGCAGGAGCCCCTGAAGTCTGATGACAGCACATTTGTCGGGCTTTAGCCAAGAAATATCCACTGAACAGAGCCAGCGCCCAGAAATGAAATGTTGAGCACTTTGAATGAAGAACAGGGTCCTTTCCCCTGTGCTACCCAGCCCCGGCCACAGCCCCCAGCAGCAGCACAGGGCAGGGTGGGACAGCTCTGTGGCTGGTCCAGGTTGGTCTCTTATCTGAAATGCTCCTGGCCGGCAGTGTTTCAGATTCCAGGTGCTAGATTTTATTTCTAATTCTTTCAGACTTTGCAGTACTTGCATATATGCCATGAGAAATCTTGGGGATGGGACCCAAGTCCAAACCCAGAATTCATTCTCTATGTTAYGCCTCATATGCATGCCATATATCACATAATTTTGTGCACAAAATTCAGGGTTAAATTTTCTGCTGGCAGCAGCCTGTCAGCGCTCAAAGTTTCGGATTAGGGATGTACAATCTGTATCAGACCCGAGTCCCTCTTTGCCTGGCGACAAAACCTTGGGCTAGCCTGGGGACCTTTCTAACTGCTGGCCACCTGCAAAATGAAGATAAGGAACTTGCCCTGGAGGCACCSTGAGCCATTAACTAAGAGAATCCTTTCTGATCACTTAAAACCGTCTCCTGGAATGTGAACATGTTCAGCAAATATCCTCCTGTGCCTGCTCACTCACTCGTTGACATTGATTGGGTGCCTCCTGTATACCAGCGTTATTAGCACTTTTAAAACATCTACAGCCTGATTTTAGAAACAAACACATATTGAGCACCTACTCCATGCCAAACACTGCTGAGCCCTTTATATATCTCCCTCATTTTCTCTTCGGCTTCCAAGCATGAAGGAGCACTCAGGAGCCTTCTGTGCCTGGCTCACCCACTTAACATAATGCCCTCCAGGCCCATCCCCATTGCTGCCTGCCCAGGATTTCATTCTCTTTAAGGCTGGATGATTTCCGCTGCACACATGTGCCACATTTTCTTCATCCATCCATCCACCAACGGACGCATACCTTGGCTGCTGTGCAGAGCCCACACCTGCCGTTGAAGGTAGCTGGAGGGATCGCACACAGAGATGGGGAAAGCACTTGGCATATTCTAAAGCTGGGGTCTGCAGCAGCTCTGGCTGCTCCCACTTGCCACGTGTCTCTATGGCCAGGGACTTCACACACCTAGGGACGCGCTTGATGACACTTGACAACAATAGACGACGTCGTTAGTATTGGTGGTTTACCTGCAGCAGAGTGTGCACCGCGTGTGTGACAGGGAAAACGCCTTCCATGGCCGAAAGACACTCGGAAAATCCAATGAAGTAGCCAACTTTGAAGCACCCCAGGATGACGGTGATGGTGGCAAACAGTGAGATGCTTCCTACGCGGGCAGGGTAGAAACATGCGTGCGTATGTGTTAATGTGCACTGTGTCATTTCAAAACCAACCACAATGCGCCCTCAGATGTGGGTCAAGGATTTCTGCCAAGGGTGCCAAGACCATTCCACACGCAGGGACAGTACTATCAACACCTGATGCTGGGAGAACTGGATAGCCACATGCAAGGGAATGAAGGACCCCAACCTATGATGCACGCCCCAAGTTAGCTCACAGTGACTCAAAGTCCTAAATCAAGGCTGGAAGTGCAAAACTATCAGAAAACAGCACAGGGGAACGCTTTGCAACATTATGGACTATACGGTGGTTTCTTGGTCCTGACAGCAAAAACAGACAATGAACAGATGGATAAACTGAACTATCTGAAAGTGAAGAGGGTTTGTGCATCACAGAAAATACAGTGAAGAGGCGAACCAAAGAACAGGTGGAAATACTTGCACATTATGTACAGATGATGCCATTAATATCCACAATATATAAAGACACCTAAAGTTCAACAACACCCACAACTTCCATAGGCAAAGGATTTGCATGAACATTTCTCCTAAAAGGATATGAAAACAGCCGACAAGTTCATGAAAGGATGATCAACATCACCAATTATCTGGAAATGCAAACCTCAACCAGCAGACGCCACGTCACCTCTGTTAGGATAGCTACTAAATAATAACCACAAGGCATGGTGGTAGGAGATGGAGAAGCTGGAATCTCTGTGCACGTGGATGGTAGTGCAAAATGGTGCAGCCACCGTGGGCACCAGTGTGGCACGTCCTCAAAAATTAAAACTGCAGCTCCTGTGTGACCCAGCAATGCCACTTCRGAGCATATACCCAAGAGAACCAGAAGCAACAATACAGTGGACCACGGACACCTACACTCGGATCTTAGCAGCACCGTGTGCAACAGCCAACAGGTGGGAGCTGACCAGGTCCCCACTGTGGGTGACTGAGTAAAGAAAGAAAGGTCTGTACATACAACACAGAGCCACCCACCGTCAGAAAGGAAGGGAATCCTACACACATGACACATGGGTAAGCCTCGAGGACATCATGGGAACACACAAGTCACAAGGGACAAGTGCCACAGGACTGCACTCACCTCAGCCACCTAGAGCAGATGAATCCATAGCGAGCATGTGGATAGGGGTGCCAGGGGCTGGGGAGGGAAATGGGCAGTGAGTCCAGAGGGCCCCGACAGGCAGGGTAGGAAGAAAACAGGCAAAGCCAACAAACTGGACCTACTAAACCACACTCTTGGAGAGGATTCAGTCGGTCAATGTCAGTTGGATATGTATATATATAAAATAAATAAATACATATATAAAATATATAAAATAAATAAAAGACATATATTAGTAAAAGAAATTCTACTGTTGGACAGATGAACCTAGAATGTAGGGATTGTCCCACTCATCACTGTGCCCACCCTATGAGTTTCCCAGAGCCTGACAAATGATAGGTACAGTGGACCCCCCACACAGCCTGGTTCCCAGACCCCACCAGACCCAATGCTGAGGACCCTGAGTGCCTCGTGCACAGTGGCAGAGCACTTTCCAACAACCTACGCCCATCTCCAGGCACGCGCCGTCTCTAGGTCACTCTGACACGTGAGACGACGTGAATCTGTGCAGATCATCCGAGTGAGCTGCATGATTAGGAGCAATGGCTGGGGGTCTGTGAGTGTCCAGGGCAGACGCAGGGTGTTTTCCAAGATCTTCAGTGCCTGGCTGGCTGAACCCATGGACGTGGAGTCCACAGATAAGGATTCAACGAGTGAAGGTGGACTGAGCCGACAGAAGGCCTGGGGAAGCTTCTCTAAAGAGATCTAAGGGCTCTGCTGCCGGCTCTAGCATCTCCATGCTCTGGTCCTAAGGTCCTGAAGAAGGGTGCAGGGCGGTGGGCACACGGGAACGCAGGGCCTGTGAGCCCTCTGTGTGAGGACAGCTTTCCTAAGGTAGAAAGTCTACTCCAGAAGCTCCAGGTAAGGGGCCTGCAGCAGCGCCCTGGAAGGAGCCCACAGGTTAAGACCAAGAGGTGAAAACCCACGAGTCTGCCTCTGAGAACAGGCGGAAAGGAACCCAGAACATCAGGGAGAAGAGCAGGACAGAGGCACCTGCGCCGTGTGGAAGCTCCTCGTCCTCCTGGGCCAGCGCTGACCCCGTCACCACTCTGTCCCACGCACAGGGAAACCTGGATCGTGGGCTGTGTGCGAGGGCACCACGGAGCAGCCAGCGGGAAGGAGCAGGCAGTGAGCGGTAAGTTACAGCCCCGCCCCCGCCCATGACAAGTCCTGCAAGCGCCTGGCTCCTTTCCACTGCCCAAAGCCACCAAAACAACTCCAGCTCACCTTTTCTTAAACCATAGAAAAGCCAGAAACTCAGTTGGAGTGGAGATTGGATCCCAGGGCTTTGAAAGGGCTTGCCGGATGCCAGGCTCATTAGAACGCGGGCTGGGGCCTGGGCTGGGGCTGGGGCTGGGGCCKGGGCTGGGGCCGGGGCTGGGGCCGGCTCAGCGGCGGCAGAGYGCTTGCCTTGCGCATGGGAGGCCCTGGGTTCCATCCTCAGCACCACATACAAATAACAAAATAAAGATACTGCATCCATGTCTGACTAAAATATATTTAAAAAGAAAAGAAACAAGAACAGAGCAAGCCAAGGCAGGCAGCTGGCCGGGCGCAGGGCCCCCTCCTGCAGCTCTGGCCCCGGGGCTAGGCCCAGAGGACATGGAGTTCCACAGCCACATCCCTGTCCCCAACTTCAGTTTCTCCCGCTATGACACGAGTCACATCGCTGAGCTGCACCCCCAGTCCCTGGTTCCGGAGGCCTGGAGGGAGACCCTCAATCTGCACACGTATCTAGTTCCAGGCAGGGCTAATGGGGTTGGCCTGGGACCCGCTTTGAGAAGCCAAGGTCTAGAACACCCCTGTAGCTGGCGGGCCCAGCATGCTGGATTCCTTCAGTAGTCTCCAGGCCCTCCCTCCCAAGGGTCTGGACGTGGTTTGAGTGTGTCACACAGAGGTTCCTGTGTGAGAAGCTTGGCGCTCAGTGGGGTGATGTTGAGAGGGGTGGGACCTTTAAGGGGTGAGGCCTAAGGGGAGGTGGTTAGGTTAGGTCCTGGGAAGCACCTGTCGGGGCTGGTGCAGTTCTCTCAGGCCTACTTGGCTGGTTCTCAAGGGAGCAGGTTGTTATAAGGCAAAGCCGCCCTGTGTGCTTCGCCTCTCCTCCACATGGCTGGTTCCCATTCCACTTCTCTGCCACGACTTAATGCAGCTAGGTACCMTCACCAAGATGCTAGCACCAAGCTCCTTGGACCCTCCAGCCAATAGAATCATGAGCCAAATCAACCTCTTTATTTGTAAAGTTCCCAGCCTTAGGTGTTTGGTTATAGCTGCACAGGATGAACTGAGACACCTTGTGTGCATGAGGCATTGTGCCGGGGGCTGAATGACAGAAACACAATGCTGGAGAACCAAAAATACACAAGTACAGCACTGCTTAAATCAGGTGTACACAAAATATAGAGGGATGAGCTGGCACCAGACATATCATGTGCAGCCCTGGAGAGCAGAAGACAGTGGAAGGTTGCAATGGTCCCCTGCAAGGAAAGGGTGCGGGCTCAGGGCTCTGTTCACAGTGAAGATGTCACACCCCGCCCTTATCAGGGCAGAAGAAGAAAGATATTTGAAGATATGCAAAGTGTACTTATCAGCAATTATTTTCTGAGCATCAACTCTTGAGCCAGTTGCTGTCCCAGGCACCAGGATACAAAAGACAATAAAATAAGGGATCTTCCTTTAGGAGTTTAAAATTCCAGTGGGAGAGACAGGAAATAAACAGGTGAACAATAGAATGTCAGGAGCTGCTAAGTGCATGAAGGAACATGATCAGGAAAGGGCACTGAGGCTGAGGGTGTTGGGCAGGAGAGGACTCTCTGAGGCCGACAGCTGAACAGAGAATAGAGAGGGAGAGAAAAATATCCGCATGACTCATCTGGCAACACCAAGCCAGTGAGCTAGGAGAGTCCTCAAAACAGGGGGAGATGAAGAGGAGAGGAAGCCACTTTGCAAAAGAATGGAGGAGTTCACAGAGTGGGTGGATGGATGGATGGATGGATGGATGGATGGTTGGATTGGATGGATAGGTGGATGAATAGATGAATAAGTGAATGTTTGGATGGATGAATGGATGGATGGATGAATGAATGGATGGATAAATGGATAGGTAAATAAGTGGGTGGATAGATGAATAAGTGGATGAATGGGTGGATGGACGAACAGTTGGATAGGGATGCATGGAGGGACGAATGAATGGATGGATGGATAGATGGATAAGTGAGTAGATGGATAGATGGATAGAAGGATGGATGGATGGGAAAATGGATAAATAAACTGATAGGCAAGAAAAGAAGATAAGATAAATCCAAATGGATGAAGACAAAATGCCTGGGAGTGTACAATTTGCTTGCTACATAAAGACAATACAGAATAAACATTCTAAGGGCGAATTCTATCAAGAATTGAACTATATCTTCACAACCTCCAGGTTGGAGATGGACTGGGTGGGGAACCGAGAGAGAAAGCCTTTTAAGTCTCAGGCTAAGGAAATGAAAGGAGATGGGGAAGTAGGGAGAGGAAAGAGGGAAGAAGGTCTCCTAAAGGTCTTTCTCCAGGGTGGAGAGGAAGCGGGAGGAGCAGAGCATCTCAGGCGCGAAGCAAGGTGACAGGCGGGGGCAAATGTTTGGTTTTTTTTTTTTTTATAATAAGAATGGAGTGATAGGCACCTGATCATGGGAAGGGAAGATGGTCATTAACAGAATAGAGAGGCACAATCATATCTTCAAAGGCCAACAGGCAGAAAGGGAAAATGAGAGAAATGGTAAAATATATCATGATGATCTCCATAAAGGAAAAATGGAAACGACACAGTCAGGATACAAATCCTTATAGCTGGAAGGATCTAAATCTTCCCATCCATTAGTAAGCAAG